TGTGCTCTTCCGATCTTTTTGTTGAAAGGTCTAAAGATTTTACTAAAAACAGATCTGAAAATAATTTTTTGTTGACTCATCAAAATAATTTGTTGGAATGTTAAAACTGATAAGCATTGCTATAAAATGTTTTGATATTCTAGCAATCACTTTGACTTTCGTACAAAATTATTTTGATTATTATAACAAAAATTATTTTCAGATCTGGATTCAGCAAAATTGTTCTTTCTGTGCAGATATTAAATTATTAAAGATTTCAAACAATTATTTACGGACTCAAACAGATTACACAAACTTTTCTCCTTCAAAAGATTTTAACGTTAAAACTAAAACTTCCTCAGATCGTTTACCGTGGACTGACTATACCGGAAGTGATCGCTCTGCTGCCTCGCGAGGGCAGCTCGCCGAGCGTGGAAGCTGTGTTTTGGTTGCTCTTAACCGGTGACGTCCCGACGCAGCAGCAAACTGCTTCATTGATCGCCGATTGGACGTCACGACGTAAAAAATGTACAGAATGGTGGTCGGGACAACGGGGCGAAACAATAGCTTCCGTTCTGCGTTCGATGCCCGAAACAATTACACCCTTGCATAAATTGTCGGTCGCGCTCACAATTTTCGGCATCAGCAAGCAGGCGAGAGAGGCCAAAAGGCACGGTGCTATGCCCTACACTTATTGGGAGGTAGTTGAAGATATTTTGACATCTTCTAAAAATTTGCTGAATAAGTAGAAAACATACAAAAAACTGCTTGACAAGATTAACATTCTAGATAATAATGATCGAAATATTTCCTTTTTCATATAATGAAATTAAAAAGCTAAAACTAAAAAATTAATAAACATAAAAAAATATTAAAATAAAAATAAAAAATACAATTACGTCTCATTGGAAAAATAAGAATAAAATACTAGAAATATCATAATACAAATAGCAAAAAATATTTATATAAAATATAGAAATTTCTATTTCTAAAAGATAAAAATAGTATAGCTTCACTTACAAATTTTTATAATTGGAGCCAATTAGCACGAAAAAATGATGTAATTTTCTCCATATAAAAACGTATTTTTATTGTAGAAAATTAATATCTAACATATATTAGTTAACGCGTAAAATGACGTTCGATTTTAAGTATACCTATGAAGATGGTATGGAATTTCTTGCAACCTTACCAGCGATTATCGGTCTAATTGCCAAAGGCCGAACGTTGAGAAACGTGAGCGGTGACGGCGATTGGGTGCAATTTTTGTTAAATTGCTTGAACAACACGAACGAGAGCTGCAACGGTCAAAGATCATCGATCGCCGATTTTCTCAGGCTATACATCACTTTAAACGCGTAAATTTCATTCTTATTATTATAATGTAGAAATTTTTATTTCTGATAAAAATATAAATTTGAATATGAAACATACGTTTCAAAAAACAGTGAAGCTAATTATAAAAAATATTAAGTTATTTTTAATAAAATAAATGAAACAAAATTGCTCTAATTAAGACGCGTTTCGCGTGAATAGTAGCGATTGTAACTGTGAAATTACATCCTTCAATTTAATTGTAAGTATGAAAGAAAGAATACAAGAGAATTGAACGATCTATCTTAGCGACGACGATGGCGGGGCACCAATCGCTCATATTACGCAAATTTTGGGTTCAACTGATCTCCATATAAATGAGGTATTAGCGAGCGTCGTTTTGGCGCACGTCGACGAGCCTAAAAGTGGAACAATGTTGGAGGTAAAAATTAATAAAAAGGTATTAAATTAAAAAAAAAATTATATGTATACATATACATATTGGAGGTAAAACTATATTAAATTAAAAAAAAAATTATATATGTACATATGTATGTATTACATACAGTGGAAAGAATTGCAAGCAAAAATCAAGAATACGCTCGGCCGAACGTGGACGGAACAGGCCTTGAAGGCTTGCGTGCTGAATTTATGGAGCAGAGACAAATTGATAGGGCACAAGGAGGCCGACTTCTGCGATCCGCGATACACCGCACTCCTGAATTACGCCAAGCAACATTTGCCCAATAATACGGAAATAAAGGTATAAAAATAAAATCGTGCACACGGCGAGAAAAAAAAATTCGCTGTTGCTCTTACGAAGATACGAACGATTTATGTCGAAAACTTTCACAGCTCTCGCAAGACATCACGCGGTTAATAAGGTCGACAATGAGAAGGCCAAAAAGAAAGGACATTTACCCGGAGCAGAATGCTCTGGCTCCTGTTATTTTTCAGGTAGAGAATTACATATTTTTACAGCAGAATTTTATTTAATTAGAAAACATTTGCACATTTCCCTTTTACTATTATGTATATTTAATTTGTGTATATAATTCTGAATAATTTAATTTCTATTATATATGCAAAATATATTCACATACAAAAAAACGGGTCACTGTAATGTTACAATGATCCATTTTTTTTTAATGCAAGTATAAATAATTTATATAATTAAATATATGCAAAATTTGTAACTTACCATCGTCCTTATAAATTTTACATTATAAACATGCACACTCGTACACACAAAGTAGATTATTTATAAGATTGAATTTGTAGTGTAGAAGCAATGTAGAATTAAAAAAAAAGATAAAAAATGTAAAATCTGTTTTGATCGCTTTAACGCATTAATTAATGTCTTTTTTTATCCGTCTAGCGTTACGGATTAGAAGACAATAATGTGGTTTATCTGTCTAGTATTACGGATTGGAAGACATGAGATTCAATCAGACGATACTTTACATGGCGCGGGCCCTGGGGACGATCGCCTCGATTATCTGGACCAGAGTCGTGAACGCGCCTGTCGAGCATCCGATTTCGAGTTGCACTCACAGCTACATGGAAACGATCCGCGACGACGGTATAAGGAAACGGAAACGCAGGACACGAAAGTAAAAATAAGAGCGAAACGCGTACAAAGGTATTTACTCGCGAGAATTACACTTCTCAACAAAATTAAAGCATCAATTACTCTACCATCCAAAAATAGGCAAAATTCAAGAGAGTGTAACTTCGTCAAAAATGATCGTATCGAGATGTTCAAAAAAGCATTTTACAGCTTGAAATCTCTACTTTCCAAATCGGTACTTTAGAAAACGATCCTACTTTCATGGAATTACACGGATAGAAAAGGAGACCCGACGAATCTCAAAATTTTTTACGAACTTTGACAAGTTCCATGGCGCGAATTAAAAATCGCATACAAATGCAGTTTACAGCTTTCGAAAGAGTGAATCTTTACCTTTAATTTGCCTTTTTTGTTGAGCTTTTTTTGTACGATTTTTTTTCACCGAGTTATTCAACATTGAAGCAAAAATGGTCCTTTTTGCTTCAATGTTGAATAACTCGGTGAAAAAAAATCGTACAACGCTCAATAAAAAAGTAAATTAAAGCTAAGGATTCACTCTTTCGAAAGCAGTAAACTGCGATTTTTAGTTTATGCCATGAAACCTTTTAAATTTAGTACACATTTTTGGAGATTTGACGCATTTTCATTTGGACCTATGTAATTCCATAAAAAATCAACAGGATCGTTTTCTAAAGTGTCGATCTGAAAAGTAGAGATTTGAAGCTGTAAAATGCTTTCTTGAACATCTCGATACGATCATTTTTGACGAAACTTTTACACTCTCTTGAATTTTGCCTATTTTTAGATGGTAGAGTAAGTGATGCCTTAATTTTGTTGAGAAATGTATTTCTCTTTCTCTTATTTATCGCTACACCGTGCACCGCCGCGTGAAAAGTATACTGCTGCTGGCTGCTGCTCCGCGCCGCGCGAGAACACATTTTCGAGACACCTGTCGACATCTGCACGTCGATCTTGGTGACTCCTGACGGTGCAACTTGGCGCGCGTCGATGGTAAGGCCAATTCTCTCTCTCTCGCTCTTGTTCCTCAGTGCCGACGCGCATAAAAAATACATGGGAAAAAAATAGCACACGCATTATCACCGTTATCTAAAAATGGGGATACTCCCCCGCGCCGAGACTGGGACTCTGTGCACGCTCGAGTGCCGTCGTTAATCCGCGAAAAGGAGAACCACAGTCCACCTCCGAAGGGAGCAAGACGTCTGGCGAGATGCGCCAGGTCTTGGTGCATTCAAACGCGCGGACCATTATTAATACGCGTGCCCGAGCAAGGCCCAATCGACGTCGTACAGATAATCGCGCGGCGGAGAACGGCGTGACGACGTGACGTGCGTTGTTCGCGGGCGCGTCGAAATTATTATGACGGACGGGAGGAGGTCGTCGCCGAGACGTGAACGCACGCCGCCGTCGCCGTCGAGTCGCCCGCGCACGTCAGGAAATTTCGCGGACCGCCGCGGGACCGTGGAGCCGGAAGAAATGAGCCACCCCTCCTCGACAATCGTAGCGGGATCCGCGTGATAACCATCTCTCTCGCGAGGTACGTACATACGTGGATCTTTGGCATACAAGTGGGTAATCTCGGGGGAAAAGTGTCTCGCGTCGAAAACAAAGGATGCCCTCGCTGACATTCAATCGTCTCCCACTTTCGACCACGGTTTTTCCTCCGTGTCCTACGTGTGTCGCGATATTTATTCGTTATTTCGCCGCGGAGACGTACTACGTGCGTGCAAGTGACATTTGAAACGCGGATATAAACGTGTCGGTTCGAGGTGCTTCGCTGGAATCTCGACGGAAAAATCGGATTTAACGGTTTTCGGGCGCAAAAGCGAAGGCCCGGGTGTAGTAAGGATCGTTCCAAAAGAGGACATGTCTGAAGGTTAGGAAATCTGTCGTACCGACGAGACGCGGCGAGACACGACTCACGAGTATGCGTCATAATAGAGAGAAACGGCGCACGAAATACGAAATTTGGTAAAAAGCCCATAAGATACGCCCCATGAAGTGGAGTCCACGAAATCTGGTATAAAATCTGTAAAGTGGAGCAATCTTTAATGCAACAGTGACAGAAAATTATGACGTGTATCAAACGAGAATTAAATTCTGTAAAAGAAGTATGTCTAGTTAAAAAAGTCCCGTAAAATCTCGTGAAGTAGAATCCACGAAATTTAGTATAAAATTTGTAAAGTGGAGCAATCCTTAATGCAACAGTGACAGAAAATTATGACGTGTATTAAACGAGAAATAAATTCTGCAAAAGAAGAATGTCTAGTTAAAAAGTCACGTAAAATCTCGTGAAGTAGAATCCACGAAATTTAGTATAAAATCTGTAAAGTGGAGCAATCCTTAATGCAACAGTGACAGAAAATGACGTGATTAAACAAGAATTAAATTCTATAAAAGAAACAAAATTTTAAAAATGGAGCAAGTTATGGGAATTTCGAAAGGAAAGGTCCTTAATCTGAATCTTTGGAAACAAAACATCTTTGAACATTGTGGGACTTGCTGCCAAAATGTTATTAAAGGACTTACACATCAAAATTCATAAAGAGGATTGAAGTTAGTAATTTATACAAATTCGTCCCGGGGCACGTGAGGGGATCTTTCTTAGAACATATGTCAATAATATATGTAATATATTGCTTTAGTGATATATGTTGAACAGTAAGGGACTTTTTGCTTTACAAGCATTGCTTTACAAGTAATTTTAGCGACTTACGCGAAGGCTAGGATAACCCTTCGCCTATGGATATTTACATGATCAAAGTTCACAAATCGCGATATACTATTTAGAAAGGACAGAAAAATCTGCAACTAAAATACGAATGCGATAATATAATGACGCACGTAATTTATAGTATAACAATCTCGCTGTTCGTCATAAACGAGAAAAGACAATGATGGACTTTGCTTTGTGTGTTGAAAGGTTGGGAGCCCATTTGGAATTGTATAACAATCCGTTATGCAGCTTTTGATGAATTTTTAGCTTTCCACGTCGCACGAAGCTTCGCACATCACTTCCTGCTTTTCGCGCTCGGCGGGATCATAAATCATTACTGATCGTATATAATTATACATATGCAGGATTTTATATTTTTGCGTATTACACACTTCCATCACGTGCTCGCGTATCTCGTCGGTACGACAGATTTCTTAACCTTCTCAAAGACGTCCTCAGCGGCTTATTAATGTTTTTACAGTGTCGCGCATGACTGTTTTTATTTCCCCAAGCCTTTGTTTTCACGTCGAAAAGGCATCATCGGGCAGATACATCGCGAAACTAAGTGGCCGTTCTATAAATTAAATATTTGCTAAAACATATGTCTGTTCTGACAAGTTAATTAACAACACACGTCACATTACGTAATACCCTATAATGCTCTTGTTTACCTTGATATATTGAGCATCTTACGAGAAGATCGCACGTTGCGCTCTCGCATGATGTTAACGATGTAAGAGATGCTTAACGAGGCTGTCGAGCGTCAAGTGTCCGCAAATTGACAAAAATGTTTGTATCGTAGGTAAGAAAAAAATATGGCCGAGAACGGAGGACCGACGGAGGAGACGGCAAACGGGCAGTGTGACTCGAGGATGCCGCATATATCGACGTCAAACGAAAATAGACAGATTCACGAATCGCCGAGATACACGTTGGCGAGCATAAGCTCCGGGACGGCGTTTAACTTTGGTGTCAGGACTGCGGAGCGCTCGAGAATATTCGCGGGCAATATCTCCTCCACCATTCAAGGGATTCGTCCTCTGATACAGCAGGCAGCGGTACGTAGCGTTGTAGAGCCAGTGTCGAAAGTAAGGCCCGTTCTACAATTATGTCGTGTGTCGGGTCGTAAAGCCGTAATGCGGCGTCTACAATGTGACTTAAGACTTAGGAATCGAGAAAATTGACCATAGTCGATTATTCTTCTGACGTGAGAAGGAAAAATCGATTGTGATCTGTCAATTTTCTTAAATTTTAAGTCTTCAAGTCTCATTGTAGACGCCACTTAAGAACTGAATGTAGGAAGAATATTCGAGAATATTGTCGAACGAGCCTAAAGCCTATTCTGCAATCGTTAATCGATTATTCTTCTTGCATTCGACTACGATTGGTCAATTTTTACGGCTCACGGACCATTGTAGAATTGGCTTGAGATATCTAGCTAATCATCTCTTTGTCGCAACAGCCTAACATAACGCTGTCGTCGCTCTTGGCCATTCATGGACTCCGGAATCAGGTCCACCCAGCCGCGTTACCGAGCGACAGCTATGTGATCAATCTGGAGGATCCGGCGACGAACGGCGCGAACGGCTCTCACGATGAACCTGCGCGCAGCCATCACCACCATCATCACCATCATCACATAGCGTTGCCGAGCAATTTCTCGAGCAACGCGCACGAGACCGCGAGCGAGGTTGTCGAGAACCACAGCAATAACAACGCCTCGGAGAACACCGCCAACGGCAACGTCCAGCTGGGTCCGGAGACTCGGGCGATGCTGAAGCACCTTCAGCAGTACGTTCCCTTCGTCACCATCCTGCTCGCCAAGGGCCTCTACGATCACCGAGCCGGCATACTCACGTTCGTTGTGCTACTCGTCACGTTCATTCACGCTAACAACGACGTTAAGCGCGAGATCGCCAAGCAGCACAATCGGAGTTGGTCGTTGCTCATGCTGATCCTCTGCTACATCACCGCGTGCATCGTTTTCGTCGTCTACACGTTCAATCTCTACACCCTCGCTCCCTACGCCGAGCCGCTCACCATCTGGGATCTGCTCTGCTACGTCACGGTGATGGATTTCTTCCTCAAGCTCATCACCATCGTCTGCAAGGTTCTCCTGACTTGTCTACCGGTACGATTGCTGGCGTTCCAGAATCGAGTGAGTGATTTATTCCTATCTAATCGTCATTTTAATACTCGGAATATTAATACAGGTGTAATCAAATTATGAAATACTGGTGAATGAAAATTTCAGGGAAAATATTATCTTATGATGGAAGCGATGTCGCAACTTTATCGATGCGTCGCGCCTGTCCAGCCGTGGCTGTACTACCTGCTCGAAACGTACCAAGGTCCGGAGAAAGTCGTGGGGATTTTTTTCTCGATAATGTATACAATGAGCAAGGGCAGCGATCTACTGTCGCGTCTGAAACTATTTCGCACCGCTGCGTGGAAACTGTTCCAAAACGTGGTATGCACACAAATATATCTTCAAGGTTTGGCCATACTACACAACATAATCACGTTGTACATCTTTTTTTTTTTTTTATAGAGCCTCGGAGTATCTCCGTCGAAGGAACAGCTGATTGCATCCGGCGGTATATGTGCCATTTGTCACGAGGAGTATACCACACCGGTTAGACTTCATTGTAAGCATATTTTCTGTGAGACGTGCGTCTCGACGTGGCTTGACAGAGAGCGATCGTGTCCCCTGTGTCGCGCGTCCATCACAGACGATCCGATTTATCGGGATGGCCATACAACACACTTCATTCAATTGTATTGATTCCGTCAATTGTCATCTCTCTAAAGAGAATAATTTTTGTACAGTTTTTTATTGCTAGATAAAAATGTAAGAGGTTCCGTTAACGGCAGACGGTGTTTTCCATTATTTATCGTGATCGAATAATCGTCGAATTTTTATATCTTTTGAGTTATTTTAATATATACGAAACTTTAATAATATTGAAACACAATAAATAATAATGCGCTCTTATGATAGAACTACGTAAACGCATTGGCATGAGACTTAGATTGAAAAATTGTACATGTTTGAACATGTAAAATATGTACATATTTAGAAATTATCTTAGCGTTAATTCAAAGGAGTCATGATGATATGAGCCAAGAATTGGGGAAAACAACGATTCCTTTATAAGGATAATAAAATCTTTTACGGGTAATGTAAGAAGCATTTAAATTAGATTAATTGAATTAGATAAATTGAAATTTAGACCTATTCAGTTGTTCTTTATTCAATTAATTTCTACGGATTCTATTTTGCATATATATGTATATTATGCTTCTTTACATATATACTACATATATAAACTTTTATTTTAGCGTTATTAAATGATATAAATAAATGATATAATAAAATATATAATATATCAAATATAATTTTTGATTTAATTATAGTTATTGTTAAAAATTATGACTTTAAAACATGCAGTTTGTGGCTTATATGATTTTTCATAAAATCGTTTAAAATTTCTCCAGAATTTTTATGTTGCTAAACTTTGCTCGTATAAAAATCATATGTAATTAGCAATTCCTTTTTTTTTGTCGTACGATTTAAATTTCAGTCTTAAATGATGCCGAGTAAAAGTAAAAAATCACCGTCAAAGAGAAATTCTTTAGAATAAAAGATACACATCTTGGATTCATTCGAAAAAAAAAGAGGAATGGCTATCACATTTTGCGAAAAGTTTAAAGTTAAAATTTAATTAAATGAAGTAGCAATCCGGAATACAGGAAGCAATAAATGGAAAATAACTGTTGCTGCTATAGATTCCATTTCTATGGAGCTCGACTCCGCAGAAATGGAATCCTCGCTCGACTTACTAATAATTGAAAAATTGTAGCGCTCGACATTTGGATGAATTAAATAATTAAATAAATTTTAAAAACGTATAACGAATTAAACGAAAGCGAAGAATCTTCCATTAACCTGGAGTTTGTTGTTGATAAAAGTTGACTGACTTAAGTTTAAAAGTCGATTACATAATAACAAATTTAAGGAGAAAGTGCGTCTGATGTCAATGTTGCCAAAAAATTTCCAGAGCAATTTCAACAAATTACTGAAAAACGCGAATGTACCTCCTTAATTAATTAATTTAATACTTTATATGCTCGTATGTATTTCGTGCATGTATTTCTCCCTATGTACAAGTATTATTTATTCTCACAAATATACAAAATTAAAATTATTATGCCCTCGTATATTTCCTTTTTTACTTACTCGCCTACTAATGTATACTTGCATGCGCACGCACGCGCGCGTGTGTGTGTGTATAAATATATATAAATTTAAAAAGAAAACGCTTACTTGGAACGCTCAACCAAGAAAATCGTTATAATTCGGTACATCCTCAAACTGCTGATTCTGCGTATTACCAGGTGCCATCGGCCTCGCTGTTATCTGCCCTCTCGGCCCTACCATTTGCTGTTGCACCCCGAACGACACTTGCCGAACGCTATACTGAGGTTGCGACTGTAACATTAATTGCAATTTGTACAATGAACTTATCTTCGTTAGCATATCTACGAACGTTAGTCACAGATTTCCATAGAAATATAAAAATAGAAATCCAGATATATAAAAATCTGTGGCGTTAATATAAATACAGCTAGTTTTTTTTTTGTTTCTGTTGAAGCTCACCTGTTGTAACAAATGTCTGAGACCAAGATTGTTAGTGGAAACCGGACGCATCAGTCGTTGAGAGTTCGCCTGTTGATTAGCCATAGCGGCCTGATTGAGGCCTCTCTGCGCCTGCTGCGCCTGCACGCGTGTGAAAATAATTATTTACGTCTCATTATACCAAAAATATATTTATTGATAAAATCAGAGAGTCGCTTATACCTCAAGCTGTTGCTTATACTGCATTTCCTGCTGTTGCGCCACTTCTAGATTTTGTTGGATCTGGACAAAAAATATCATAGCCACATAAGAAATTTTAAACTCTTTTGAAAGTTATCTCTATTAAATACAAAAAGCACGAAAGTAGTTATATTTACATTTACTTCCAGCTGAGACTTATACTGCGCCTCTTGCTGTTGCGCGGCTTCTAACGTTTGTTTCAGATGATGAATCTTTAGCAAATTTTGATGTCTGGCGATCTCTAAATCGTCATACGGAGGTCGTTGTTGACCGATCATACCTCCGACACCCGCGTTAGCTTGTGGGCCGCTAATTCCGCTATTCTGTAAATGTGTAACGCGTTATAGCTAAACATGTAGCCAATATACAAATTATTCTATCCCATAGAAATGCTGGCACATTTATATTACCTGCATATTCATTTGGGTCTGTGGGCCGCTGGTCGAAGTTAAGGTTTGCGGTGGAGCGGTGGACACAACGTTCTGCGTTATTTGACCGCCGCCCATCGCCATAGTATTCGTTTGGGACATAAGAATGCCCCCCTGTGTACCTGAAGTAGGCATGGGTGCGGGAATCGCATTGCCTGGTCCAGGATTAGCCTGACAAGTCGGATATTAAAATAATTACAAATCGATTGCGATAGTAGCCACGAAATAGTAATTACAGGCAATAACAAGTTCCATTAAAAAATCGCCATTCATCGAATGTTCATTGTACAATTTCACAAAAAACGGATGACTTCTCGAGAATAAAAAAATTTCATCTGTGTGTACGTCCTTAAAGAATTATCTAATTTAATTCTCTTTACAATTTCAATTATACTTATTATAAAATGTAAATCATAAAATTTACATTAAAAAATATCAACAAAAATTCTTAATGGCATTTTTAATTAAAATTTCTCTGTTTGCGGATACCGAGAAATGCATTATGCCTTACGTGTCTCTCGCGGTGCCCAGTTGTGTCTCTGATTTCCGCTTTTTTCGCATACAAGTATAATCGTATTACTCACCTGTCTTACAGAAGCGTTTTGAGACGTTTTCTGCTGCTGTATAACCTTGCGAAGACGATCCACGAAGGCTGTTTGGTCGTTTGGGATGAAGCCGAGGTACGTTTTCTTGTCCGCAGTATACAAAAGTATAAGTACTTTTATTTCGCAAGCCGGGCTCGATGACGCAGAAGTGAAGTGGACACACCCCGCCTGAAATACATAGAATTTTTTTTTTAAGTGTTATTATAAACAACTGTCGCAGATACATTATTCGCAGCATTCGCATTCGTGCGGTCAAAATGAAAAAAAAAAAAAAAAAAAGACGCGTTTAATACGCAGCACAATAAGTACACTTACAAATCCAGCCGTCATCATTTTTGTTAAGGATTCCAAAGCCTCACACGGCGTCGGGTGAAATACAACAGATTTGGAATTCTTCAGATAGGTACCACCAATACTGCCTATCAATTGTTTCGGCATCAATTGCATTATCAATTTGGGCGGCCATGTATCCGCTTTCCTGAGGAGGCAAGGCACGTTGTGTGAAACACGAAAAATGTTACGTCGATCGAGCGAGAAATGATGACAACTTACAATTCCGGGTCTCCGTCTTTCGCATTAGCCGAGACTTGACAGGGGACGTGTCTCGTTTGCTTTTGCGCGTCCGTGGGATTCTTGGCCTTTTCGATCCATTCCACGATACCCTGCCAGATGTTCTGACGCTCGCGTTGCGGCACGCCGAGCTGTTGATTTTGTACAGTACCGGTAGACACATTGCCCTGAAAAATTACAATGCAAAAATCAATATTACTAATTATTTGAATACTTTATTTACTTATTTTTCACACATAAACCTTGCTTTAAAGCTCAGATAGCTTCTAATGTCAAATTTACCTACAAATGACACATCCTTTCATTTCATTCTAATATTTTACTTTATATCACACGCTGTTGCAATCCTTCATCCTTTGGTTTGCAAATAAATTTCATATAAATGTAATAATGTAGTTTAATTACTTGTGCTTGAGAGTGAGTGATCTGTTGCGTGATGGAGGATACCGAGACCGGCGCTTGCTGCGAAGCTGTGACAGTCTGCGGCACTTGAGTCGGTACAGACTGGCTAATACACGATGCAGTAAGTTGCGATCCCGGTTGGCTGTGAGTCGGTTGAGCGGCCATGGCGGACATGGTGGCCTGCTGGACATTTTGCTGCAGCTGCATCGTCAGGCGCAGTTGTTGCTGTTGCTGCGTGAGTTGCTGCTGCTGTTGCTGCTGCTGATTAGCTGCCATAACGTTATTGCCTGCCACTGTGAAGTGAAAATTACAGAATTTTACGTGTCCAAAAACACATCACGAGGATACAACAAAAAAATAAGATAAAGACAAGAAAGAATAGAAACACATCACAAGGATACAAAAAAATAAAGATAAGAATAGAAACACATCACAAAGATACAACAAAAAATAAGATAAAGATAAGAAAGAATATAAACAAGGTAAAAAGAAATGCGAAAAATAAAATGCAAACACCATTCTTACCATCTAATCGTTGATTAAACGCAGCTACGTTGAGTCCTAGCGACGAAGGCGGCTGCGTGAGCTGCGCTATTAGCGCGCTGGCTTGCGTATTCGCAGGCGCGGTCGCGCCCGGCGCTATGAACGACGGTCGCATCCATCTGGGCCGCGTGGCTATGTTCACTCCCGCCGGATGGTAATTCGGCGGTGCGGCGATCTGAGGATTGTATGGCGGCCGTGCGGTGTTCATCGGTGCCGCCATCGACGGCGTGACGGTCTGATGCACTGAGGTGATGTTCTGAGGAGGGGCTTGGTTTCTGAACGGAGGGCCCTGCTGCTGATTCGGCGGGGCGATGTTCTGCTGCACTTGATTCGTGTTCGGACTGTCGTTGCTCTGCAGCGGGCTCAGGGGTATTTGCGCCGCGGTGGCCGCGGCACTGTGAACGTTACCGCCCATCTGGGGACTGACCGGTCGCTCCTTCAAGTTGTAATTCCGCAGGAGCACCAAATGCCGCGGATCCTTGGCGTAATTCTTCGTTTGCGAGGACTGCAGATCGCCGCCAGCTTTCTCAAATAGCTTGTACAACGCCGGAATTTTTCTCGGCGATAATATAGAGATGTTGATATTCCTCTGAAAAAAAAAGAGTCACGCACGCATGTATACTTAAATGACCGCCTCCTTATGTGGCACTAACAATTCGTCAACTCCCATATCACTCACCTCTTGATAAATGGCAGCTAATTGCTCAATGGTATGGCCAGCGAACTTGTAAGCTTCTTGAATCATTGTCTGATACGGGGGCGAATTGCATATCAAAATACAATGTTTCTGCGAAGCGGTGTTCGGCTCCCGTCTCACGTGTAAGTCTTCGAAACACTGTAATCCCGTTGCCAGACCCTCGCCTATGTTTGCAAAGGATTCTCCCTTCCCGCCGACCATCCTAGATGGAACATTATTATTAATAATGTAAATCAATCAATAGAAAGGAATTTTTTTAAAAACGGCAATATATATTATTCCTGTTTATGAAAGATTTATGTTAAATTTATCTTGTACTCACTCAAGCTTGTCTAGAACCATTAGTAGTTTGTGAGGATTTGAATAAGGTCCAAGGGTCTCCGTACATGGAGATGGCAAGCAATCGGCGGCATGATAAACAACTATTCCATATAATGTGCTATTCTGCTGTATAAATTCCGATTGCGTTAAAATAAGTTGTAATCTTAATAAATTTCCCATACATTAAGAAATATAACATACCTCGGATACATATTCCCTGTCTTCTATGCCACCTTGACTGAAGTATCTGTAATGCAGGAAAGTATAAAAACAGATTGATAAAGGATTGCTATTTTATTTTTAAGTAATATATAAAGATAATATAATATGGTATAATATTTATAAAGTTAATATTTTAATGTGTAAATATTACGAATTAAAACTTACTCCAGCGTTGGAATAACGTAATTTGTTTTAAGATCATTGAGGTACGCGCCGTTAACAGCTGTTCCCTCGATGACAAATATAACATCAGCTTGTATTCCATGTTCAGTTGGTCCTGTCACCATTTTTCTAAAACACAAGAATCTTATATGTTACTTAAATATTAAAACATATATATATATATATATATATGTATATATAAAACTATAAATTGTTTTCAGACTTCTGTTACTCAGCTCTGACAAAAATAAAAATCGAGAGAATTGATTTTGCAAATCGCCCGAGGTATAGAATTGTATTTCGGTAAATGTTAAAAACACAGTCCTCCGATTTTGATAAAGTAGACCGAATAAGGTAAACTTAATTAATAAAATTAATTACATCGAAGATTTTTAAGCTAACCTAAATACGCTCCTTCAAAAAATTAGGTTGCTTAAAACGAATTCCTTTAAAAACTTACATTCAATTAAAATTTACAAGCTCAAGCAAAAAGTACGCTTGTCCACCAGCACGTTTGTAAAAATACGCATGCAAATCATAAGAACAAAAGTTTTGTTTTCGTTTTCTCACTGACGTCTGACTCGACGCGAGTCCACAGTCTCCAGTCTCCACACACCTCACAGCTAAACATAAAGCTCGTATCGGAGCAGAGTTAATACAAGGTGTAGTTCGACATGCACGTTTGACAGACAGAAAATAACATAATTTTATTTGAAATGTGGACACAACATAACTTTATTTGAAATATTAATTTTCAGACAGCTCTTTAATGATAATAATGAAACTACTGTTTTAAATATATAAATAAAACATTATTTAAGGGAAAATTCAGACATAACAGATATATGTATTTACAAAACATCAAGATAATAATAAATCTTGAAATGAAATTAATATTACGAGCTATAATTTCTGAATTTCAATCTCTTTTGCGAGAGCATTGTGTGTGTAATTTGTGAAATAAAATTGTTAACGGTATCCCATTAAATGTCTACAAAAATGCGAGCTGGGGACAGCTAACCTGACCTATAGCGGGCCCAATAATTGCGGCCACGTTTAGGATGTTTAATAAATAACAATCGTACATACATGTATTGTAACTGATCGTGATTGTATACTGTTTACTAGTTCGACATTCAGACGTTACAACGCGACAATTTGACATTTTATGTTTCATTCTGCCGAGTGTATACAGTCTTGTGGCCTCGTGCAGGCTTTCTCCGGGATCGTTCAACGCTCTGTTTACACGCGTCTGCCGAACCCTCTGTTATTGTTATTACTGAAGAGTTTTTTTCATTGTTTGCGCGAATCGACGGTTGTCGGTTTTAAATATAATATAATGGCTAATGTCGTATATCGATCAAACCGTGAGTCCTTCCGATGACTAATGAAGGTAATGTTTACAGATACGCGTCCGGTGAGGATGGCAGTCGGGCGGCGACATTAATACGAGAAGCAGCTCGAAGTGCCTGAATTGCGGACGAAAGACAGAGCTTGTCCGTTTGTACTGTTAGCGAAGAATAAGTTAAGATCGAACATGGTAATTAGTTTCATCTTGATTCCCTTTTAATTCTATATTCCTGAAATTGTTTCAAATCGCCGAAAATTTGGTCTATTTTTCTAAAATCTATCGTATTCTGTTTATTACTAAAATTATCTAAAATTACTTTGTATTTTGATATTTTCTGTACAAAACATATTTTCTGAAAAACTGTACAATATAGCTAATTAAACGACGTATACATCTGCATGTTTGTTTATGTGGAGAATAAAGTTTCTCATAACAATTATATTTTTATATAAACAATGGTAATTTGAAATAGGACTGTGTCACAAATGAGAGCATTTTCTGCGAGGCTGCCTCTTGATGCCTAATAATATTTCTCGTTTCTAGTTAATAATTCTATTTTTTTTTTTTTTCATAGGCGTCCACGTCCAAGAAACAGTCCCACAAGAAGAATACGATAAAACTGGAATTAACCGAGAAACAGAAGTCCGAGATAAAGGAGGCTTTCGACCTGTTCGATCCGGACGGCACTGGAAAAATTGCTGTCAAGGATCTGAAAGTTGCTCTCCGAGCCCTGGGATTTGAACCGACAGTAAAGGAGATACAGAAGCTCGTAGCGGACGTCGTGCCGGAATGCCCCAGCTCGATATCTTACGAAGAATTCATGAAAATAATGTTGAGCAAGATGACGGAGAAGGAAGGCGAAAGCGAGGTGTTACGGGCGTTCCGTCTTTTCGACGATGATAAAACGGGGAAGATATCCTTCCAAAATATCAAACGCGTTTCGATCGAGTTGGAAGAGGAGTTGACCGACGAGGAGATATTAGATATGATCAACGAGGTGGACGAGGACGGCGACGGGCAGATATCGTTTGAGGAGTTCGCCAAACTCTTTAAGAAAATGTCGTGTTCGTATTAAGAGTAAACTTCGTATTAAGTTAAATTAATCACACACGTCTATGTCAAATTAATGTGGAGACATAGCGGATTTTTGAATTATAATAATATGTATATTTATATTTATATATTTCTAAACGAAAGACTGGCGTTTCAACAATCATCTTTTGTGGTACACTTGTGAACGATATTTTTTATAAACTCTTGTTTATGTGGATGTTTAATAATAATGTGCCATGATGTGTGCGAAAATAAATAGCATTATCTACGTTTTATGCTAACATTTGAGTGGTTCTTTTTAATCGTGCATCTTCTATTATTTTTCTAGACTCTCTTGCCACTTCTTTCCCTATGCGAATCATGTGAACAGTCCAATTTCAAATTCAACTAGAAAATAAAATGCAACTAGAAAAAACAGATATACAATAAATTATCGAATCTTATCAAGGATCTCGTTTGTATATTTAAATCTCGAGTATTCGGAACTCGCGTATAGATACGTACAGCGATCTCGATGCGCGCGTATTACTACGCGAGACACTACCGTGTTTCCTGATGTACGAAATATGATACAATGATTCATCTTGAAAAAATATTCAAGTATTTATTTCCACATCATTTACATTCAGCGTCGAGATGGCAGCGTTGATTACCGATCTGACTGACTTCGCTCTTGCTTTCGCCATTTCCAGCGCTTTCGAAAGCAAATTCTGAGAGATTGCAATTCCACCTACATTAAATTTATGATCATTATTACATGAGACATACAGCATAATAATTATTGAATTAAAGTGCAAAGTTCATTAAATAATTTACAATATATTATAATTTTCAGTGCTTTCGAAAGTAAATTCTGAGAGATTGCAATTCCACCTACATTAAATTTATGATCATTATTACACGAGACGTACAACATAATAATTATTGAATTAAAGTGCAAATTTATTAAATAATTTACAATATATTATTATTTCCAGTGCTTTCAAAAGTAAATTCTGAGAGATTGCAATTCCAACTACATTAAATTTATGATCATTATTATATGAGACATACAACATAATTACATGAGACATACAACATAATAATTATTGAATTAAAGTGCAAAGTTCATTAAATAATTTACAATATATTATTATTTCCAGTGCTTTCGAAAGTAAATTCTGAGAGATTGCAATTCCACATTAAATTTATGATCATTATTACACGAGATGTATTTACAACATAATAACTTATTATTATTATTGAATTAAAGTGCAAAGTTCATTAAATAATTTACAATATATTATTATTTCCAGTGCTTTCGAAAGTAAATTCTGAGAGATTGCAATTCCAACTACATTAAATTTGTGATCATTATTATATGAGACATACAACATAATAATTATTGAATTAAAGTGCAAAGTTCATTATATAATTTACAATATATTATTATTTCCAGTGCTTTCGAAAGTAAATTCTGAGATTGCAATTTCACCTACATTAAATTTATGATCATTATTACATGAGACGTATTTACAACATAATAACTATTGAATTAAGCAAAGTTCATTAAATAATTTAAAACATATTGCACTGCATTTTACAAGAAATACGCACCAGGTTTATGTACGTAGCAAATCTCTTCTTCATCGTCCATCACAATAGAAAATCTTCCGGCTGACAAATCCTCCTCGTCGTCCGTAGGATCAACTATTAACAATTGTCTGCAAAAAAATAAAGAGATCAGTTAGATATGAACTACACGAGAAGCATCTGTTACAATAAATTGAAACTGACTTTTCAAATACTGCAAACGATATAGAAACTGGTAACGTTCTCACGGTAAACGTCTCTCTGTTCTTCGGATGTACGACAATTACTCCCGTCTCGCTGTTGTAATTCACCTCAGGTAAGGTCACTGCAAGAGATAAGATCTGTCTTGAGATACAGCAAAAAGGAATTGAAAGCGCCGGAATGTTGTTACACGTTACAGCGTGCACGCGTGACTTACACGTTTTGAGAGCTGCCATCAATGCCCCGGCGCAAGCGTCTATAACCGAGCCATTGTAATTCAGGCACAGGATATCGCAGTACAAGACCCATACCAGTTTACCTCGGCAGATGCAAAGGTCTGTCAAGTCGAGCGCCGCCGAGTTACTCAAAATTATGTCTATCGATTTGGAGAGCACCTGCGCCTGCTCGCTCGGCGGACCTGGGCGAAACTTGGAGGAGCACAGAGGGGACAATTCCACATTTGGCACTATGTAACCGTGATCTGGAGTGTCCGCTTTTGGCGTCGTTAATTCCTGGAATTAATCATTTAAATTAATCAATCACTTTGTCAGTGACTTAAAAAACCAATGGTACTTTTATTTTAAATAAATAAAGAAAAATAAAGGCAGGTCGTTATAAAATATTATATAAATTATCAAGACATTAAATTTTCTCATATATATAATATTTTGAAGGGATACGAAAATGGATAAGTGTACAAGGAACATGAATCGAACTCACAGCTTTAATACCACAAACTGCAGTCGTGTCGCCCACTTTGAATATCGCTGAACTGTCCGCCTGAATGATCGATGAGACGTTTACGCTTATTGGCCGAAAAGACAAGAATTTCCTACCGTCCGTTCGAACATCTTGCTCCTGCGAATGCCAAATTCTTTATGATTTATAAAAAATTTTATGATAATGTATTTCTTCATTCAAATACATGAGATACTTACGAGATGATCTTGCAAGTATTTCATAGGATGTATCGTTCTGAAAATACATTAAAGGATAATAAAACACCTTTCGAAAAGAAATAAACATTATGGCTTAGTCTCAAATTTTCTAATTAAGTACTTTACTAAGCTAAGATAGTATTTTCTTGCAAAACAAGAGAAATGCTTCTTTTTTACTCCATTTTCACATAGAAATAAAAATAAGATTTTTATTTGTCATGCATTCTATAATTTATTTAAAAAAGTTATTTGAAAAAGTTATTTGAAAATACATTACTTGTACTGTAAATCCATTTGTGTTAAAATTTTCCGTATTTGACTCCGTATCTGACAGCTTCCTCGTTTGATTACAGACCGCGTGCTAAATTTTAATTAAAAAAAAAAGGACAAAGTAATTATGAAAAATAATAAAAAATAAATAATTACGTTCAACAAACAGAAACACGCTCGAGGTTATTCCTAACCAATAATCACAGATTTGTTTGCGCTGCTTCAGCTGCTTGAAATCCTCCGTAATTTTTGCACTTAAAATGAGATAGATATATATTCGGACGTCGGAGAGAGAGAGAGAAAATGACAATTTTGAGTGCAAGAAGTGCAACAAACAGATCTAGGAAGAAATGTTCGATATAGGCGCGAATAATCGATTTTTCTCGCGCGATGTTAACTAGAAGTACGTCAACATCTGGTGACACGTGCGATCCGCCGCATTGTCGGCACTGGCGACGTCGTCCATCCGCCGGCGTGTAATCGGGCGTGTGAGACTCAACAATGTGATCGTTTTGTGGCAAAGGAGAGAATTTGCGTCAATTGCAATCGCGCTGGCATGAGTAACGAGAGTATCTGAAACCGCGAGACTCGCCTGTTTTCTCTTTCTCTCTCTCGCTCCTTCTCTCCTCTCGAGAATTAAGTAGGTACGCGGTCGCGACTGCGAGGCGAAGGCGCGAGGATAAAGGGAGCGGAGCGTGCAGAGTACGCGCGCGCGCGCGCGAGAGAGAGAGAGAGAGAGAGGATGAACCTCAGCCTGACGAAGTTGTTCTCGAAGAAGAGGAGCGGCGGTCCCTCGGTCGACACCGTGGCGGCGGAGATCGGTCTGCCGACCAACGTCTCGCATCCGTTCCACGTGAGCAAGAATGCCGAGACCGGGCAGCTGGAGGGCCTGCCGGACTCGTGGATACGCCTGCTCAACACCCAGATCACCAAGTCGGAGCAGGACGAGCATCCCGACGCCGCGCTGCACGCCATCAAGTTCTACAACTACTCGATCAAGCGCAGGCCGCAGGACCAGGAGGTCTTCAAGCCGTTCGTCACGCAGGACCTGATCGAGGAGGAGTCGCAGGAGATCGACAACATCCTGACGAAGAAGTACCAGTCGTATACCGGCTCCGACGACGACCGCCTGACCTCCGAGAGCTCGACGGACGAGCCGACGTTGCCCGCGCTACCGCCGAAAGCGAACAAGCCGCCGAAACCGCCGAAACCACCGAAACCGCCGAAACCGGCGCCACGACAGAGGAGCAAGTGCAACGACAGGGCGGAGAAGACCCTCACCGAAATCCTAGAGGATCTGAACACGTATCGGATCAGCGACGGTGAGGACGATCCGTTACGGGAAGAGGAGGAGGAGGAGCGGAATGTTTTGCCGGATAGAATAGAGGAGAGTCCGATCCTGCGAAGGAAGACCGAGTGCACGGATGTGAGACTCAGTGACGAGCAGGTGTACGAGGAGCTCAGGGCCATCTGCCAACGTGGGGATCCGAACCTGCGCTTCGAGAGGACTAAAGAGGTGGGCGCCGGTGCCTCCGGTACTGTGTTCATAGCAACTGACCTTCAGCATGGTCAGAAGGTAGCCATAAAGGACATAGATTTGTCGAAGCAGCCGAAGAAGGAGCTGATATTGACCGAGATCAAGATCCTCAAGCAGTTCCAACATCCGAATCTGGTCAATTTCCTCGACGCCTACCTCGTGGACGAGCATCTCTGGGTGGTGATGGAGCTGCTGGAGGGCGGGCCGCTCACGGACGTGGTCACCGAGACCGTGATGAAGGAGATTCAGATCGCGGCGGTCTGCAGGGAGGTCCTCAAGGCGATAAGCTTCCTGCACACCAGGGGCATCATTCACCGCGACATCAAGTCGGACAATGTGCTGCTGGGGATGAACGGCACGGTGAAGGTCACGGACTTTGGTTTCTGCGCGAACATCGACGGCGACGAGAAACGGCAGACCATGGTCGGCACCCCGTACTGGATGGCGCCGGAGGTCGTGACGAGGAAGCAGTACGGCAAGAAGGTGGACATCTGGTCGCTCGGTATAATGGCCATCGAAATGATCGAGGGCGAGCCGCCCTACATGAAAGAGACACCGCTGAGAGCGTTATATCTGATCGCTGCCATTGGTAGACCCTCCATCCCGCGATGGGAGAGCCTCAGCCCGACGTTCCAGAATTTCTTGGAGAGATGCCTCGCCGTGGAGGTCGACGAGAGAGCGACCGCCGACGAGTTGCTCTCTCATCCGTTCCTAGAAAACTGCGCGGAATTGTCTACACTCACTCCGCTGATCCGTGTTGCGCAGAGAATTCTCCAAAAGGCATTTCACTAAACATTTCTAAAGAATTTCGTACTGTAAACATTCACGATACTTCATTGCTGCTTGTCGTTCATTACGCCGGGGCGTGTCCGGATTCCCACCCGAGTGCTCCTCGAGTATCATTTTATTCTCGTTTAACGTTCGGTGAAGAACAAAGAAAAAAAAATGATACCTAGATGACACTTGCGTGGAAATCCGGACGCGCCCCTGAAGAATGAGAAGATATTTTTCGTAACTGAAAAAGCCTTAAAAGAATTTCGTAATTATATTACATTTTAATATCTTAAATTTATTTGACTGCCTTGTCTGATTTCGTTTTTATATCACTATGCTGGTTTATACATGTACGAAATCAAAGCACAGTGATAATGCTTGATAGTCATTTTAAGATTATTTTATTCAAATAACATTGTTGTTAAAAAAAAAATCTAAATTATTTTTGGTGCTACTTAATTATATCATGATTATTACTGTTGCAAGATAGTATCGTGAAAATTATTTGTGGAAATACTTTGACAAATTTATCGACTTCTGAAATAAGCCATCTATGGTTTATGTGCAATATGATGAATTAGGGTTTTACTCAGGTATATCTCCGCTCAATGATACTATATTGATATGCGTTTTGCCACTCGAGAGTTTAGTATTTACCAGAACAACAAACGGAGTTTTATATGTAAATAACTGTGAACACAGAATGCATTTTTATATGCTTTTTTGAACGATGAATAGAATGTATATAAAATATGTTAAAATTTGTATTTTTAATATCGGTTAATATATAAAAAAAAAGTTCACAATGCAGAATTTCATAAATATTTTCCTTAAAATTAACTGTACTTACATCAGTGTACAGAAATATCAAGATATGAGAGACAAATGATAAATTCAATTATATAAGAGCTTCTTCTTTGCCCTTGGATTTTTGATTCTGATTCGGATGAATCAAAGTACCACGGTTTATATAAGAGCTCTGATAACAATTAAAGTCCATCAAATTTGAAGCTCTTAACTCTTTCCAAGAAAAATAAATCGGATAAGGCTAGCACACATTTGATAATATAAATTGTAAAATAAGTTATTTGACTGTAAGTTGTTTTTTTTTTAATCTGTAACTTGTAAAGTTTTTTAACTTTATAAATTTTAACTTATAAGTTATTTTAATTTATAGGAAAAGCTATGCGCTGAAAAATTAGTATTAGTCATATATGAAAATATGAGTTTTAAAATATTAGTTTAAAAAAATATTTTGTGAAATTGAGTGAGTGGCACTGTTTGCTATCGTAAGGCAATGCATTGAAAATTAACCGTTGCGAATTATGTAACGGCAACCACCGTGCAATGCATTTTTATAAAATTATTAAGATGCACACACACACTTCATATACATACACAGTTTTGTAAGACTTTTATTCCTACTTTTATAAAAACATATACCTTTTTGAAAACTTTTGTATTTTCTAAGAGCGCGATATTGCTCAAACAGATTATATTCATATAGCAATATTTTTTAAATAACCAATATATGTATATAAGCTGATATTCAATAGCGTGCATGAAGATTATAATATGCGATGCATGAACGTGTAATACGATTGAATTACTGTAAAAAGTGAATGTCTAGATATTTAAGATGATTCAAGCAGTAATATCAGGTATATATAAAATCACGACTGTGATAAACGAAAGTTAAGTTGTATTAATCCTGTAGAGTATAATTTTTGTGTTTTACCATTTACATCATATATTATCAAATTACCATTTATTGAAAATATCAGATTGACAATAGTTCAAAGTATATATTATATGTTACAAAACAAGACAAGTGTTGTTTTCCAATCATATAACATATTAAATATATGTGTTGATAGGCGAATATATTTAAACAGTATTGTAATCGTTTGCACGATTTGAAATAAAGAATATTATTTGCATATTCTATTAGTTTTGATAAAATTGTATTCAAAAAGTTTTCGAAAAGTCATTAGTATTAAAATAAAATGCGAGAAAGTGCCTTGTGTGCCTTATTAAATGAACACATGTAATTCTAATTAATAAGGCCCAAAAAATATTATCAAAAATAATGTACGAGATGTTACAATGTGACTTCGAGAATTGCGTATAATGTAATAAATTGTTTTTCTATATGATGGATAAAGGAAAAAAATGGACATTAATACATTCGTAAGACGTCACGCGTTTTAAATAATAAATATTTTATTCGGAAGATGAATCTTTTCATTCATCGTTAAAAGCTAGCCCAATAATCTTATTTAAACTAAGATTATTTACAAGTGAATTTATTCATTTATTTATACATATTTCCAATTAATAAATTAATGATAAATAAACCGTGTACTTTATTCCACGAATTTCTAAATATAACAGACGTAAATTTCTTTATCTAGTTATTTATATGATACAATAAAGATATTTATATTTCATAACTTTGACTCGGAAGATGTACGTACATTGTGTATATGGTTCCCATGTATATCACAGGGCCAGATATTTACAGCTTACATAAATATCAACATTCTAATTATTTACAAGATTCTAAATACCATGGACATTTTTATCCTCTGTCATTCAATTTTATGGAATAAAATTTTACTAATCTCTAATTAATTGAAAATTTTAAAAATAATTTAGAAATTATACTAAAATATAAAAAATATTTTGACAATCACAGATTGACATTTAACTTCAATCAATGTTGTTATTAATTAATTTATGAATGCGAGAATATGTCCATATTGTTTTAAATATTTTGGCAGTAGAAATATATAAATTATTTCCTTTGGTCAAAGTTTTTTTCATAACAATGAACAGAGAGTTACTTGAGAAACACTGTCGCATAAATATATAAATCGTGCTTTCTATATTTGATTATATATATATACATATACATATATGACACGAAAAATAAAATTAATAGTAACCAATTCTTTCGTTCATTTCAAAAACAGCCAGCAATTATATACATTATATTATATTAGTTGATATTGAGTTTTCTGCCACTTAAATTCTACTCTTTTTTTTTTTCAAAGTACAGTAACATAGTTACCAAAAAATGATATTCAATTCTCTTGATGCAAGAAAGACGAGCTGTTTTTGCAATAAACACTTTAAACAAAATGAGTATTTTGAAATAATTAATACGCGTTACGTTTGTACCTCAGTACCTGCATCCTGCCAGCCGCGAGGAAGACTGGATCCTCCAGCGTTGCTTTCAAAATAGCCAAGAAATCAGCCGCTTGATCCTCGTCGATCGCCCGTCTGTCATACGATAACTTCGCCGTCATTTTCGTCACCTTCATTAACGAGGAGTCTGCGGGACATTGCAAAAGTATTATTAGTCGCGGCTAGAAAAATTAGTATTATCCACAAGATGTATCTTTCGCAAAAAATTACCTAGCTCCTCTCGTCCCGCGCCTATAGCGAGAATAGCAGTTTGCGGAGGATTTATGATAGCGGAGAACTCCTTGATGCCGAACATTCCCAAATTCGAAATTCTGCGTGTAAAAATTGCTCGTGTAGCAGGCACACATAACGAGATATTCACGCGTACTTTTTTGTGTATCATCGGTTAAAGCTTACGTGAATGTTCCTCCTTGAAACTCGTGCGGCTTAAGCTGCCCCTTTCTCGCCTTCTCGGCTAATTCTCGAATATTTTTCGAGATATCTGCTAGGCTTTTGGTGGCAGTATCGAACACTATCGGGGTAATCAGGCCTGTTTTCGTCGCGACTGCTACAGACACGTCCACTTTTGGAACCCGGACAATCTAACACACACACACAGCCGTCGATTGTTAAAAATTATAATTGAGTCGCGTGTCCTAGCGTAATTATGTCACAATATTGAAACTCATCGTGCTGACCTGATTGTTTTGATGCAATGCATTTACATCAGGACACTCGACGAGCGCGTGAGCGACAGCCTTGATAACGAAGTCGTTAATTGACACAGTTATATCCTCCGTCTTCAGCTTTCCGCGGAGCTCGAGTATTTTGTCGATGTTTATGTCAATAACTGCGTAAGAGTGTGGTATAGTCCTCTGGGAAGAAAGATCGTCGCTTTAATTAAATTAAATAACAAATAATTAAATTTCATCAAAATATGTCGTAATGTCGTACCTTCGACTCGCTGAGTCGTTTAGCGATTATGGCACGAATGTTGGATATTTCGATGTCTACGTATGGTCGGTCAGTCGGGACAGACGTCGCTTCTGGACTGGGAGGACGTGCTTTAGCAGCCTCTGGAGTAGGTGCTACAGAAAAATAGCCGTAAAATGGAAGTGTTAAATATCACACAGATATTTCAGGAGAGACAGTATTGTTCCAGAATGTCCATTGTATTTACCTGATTTAGGCGTAACTTTTTTAACACTGTTTGCCTGAATATACGTCAGAACGTCGCTCTTCAATAAACGGTTTGGACGTCCCGTACCCTTGATCGAGCCGGAGCTCAGGCCGTATTCCTCCAACAACCTCTTTACCGCCAAGCCATACACTCTGTATACAGAAAATATACTAATTATAGCACATACATTTAATAAAGTATTTTATGTTAAATTTCGAAATAATACATAAATTTAAATTAAATTAAATTAATTTTATGTGTTGTATTATTTCAAAATTTAACATAAAATACTTTATTAAATGAATAAATGTATGTGCTTAAATTTAAATTAATTTTACGTAAAATATACTAATTATAGCACATATATTTATTGGTATTTTATGTTAAATTTCGAAATAATACATAACAATTTAATTTAAATTAAATTAATTTTGTATTATTTCATGTTATTATTTTATGTATTAAATTTAAATTAAATTTACGTAAAATATACTAATTACAGCACATGTATTTAATAAAAGTATTTTATGTAAAATTTTGAAATACATAAAATTAATTTACTTTAATTTAAATTTATATATCATTTCGAAATTTAACATAAAAATACTTCGTTAAATGTATGTGCTACAATTAGTATATTTTTCGTCAAATTAATTTCGAAATAATACATAAAATTAATTTATCAATAAATTATTTAAAAAATGAATACATACTGCCCACTTGATGGTGGTTTCGCGTCAGCTGGAGCGGTCGGTCGAGCAGGACTCGGTGCTGCAGGTGCTGCTGGTTTAGTTGACGTCGGGACAACAGCCTGCTTCCAGTCCATTCCTTTCTCAACTACGACAGCTATCAACTGTCCGACTTCCACCTGAGAGCCTTCTGGGATCTAATAAACGCAGTAATATTAATTAGTCTAAGGAAGAAATTATAATTTATTCCATGCCAAGAATTTAATAACGAAATGCGTACGAGAATTTTCGCGAGCACACCCTCTTCTTCCAATTCAAAGGTCATGACGGCTTTGTCCGTCTGTATGTCCGCCAATGCATCACCCGGCTGTATCTCATCACCTTCCTGCTTCAGCCACTTTACGATTGTACCTGTCGTCATGGTTGGCGACAGGGCGGGCATGGCAATGTTTTGTCTGAAAATCAGAGATAAATTATTCAGAAACGCAGTTGCCAAAAACTGTGACTGTAGATTTCTAACCGTGTGTAAGCCATCACATTTAAAAAATTCTAAATACAATGGACATTTTTATTCTGTCATTCAATTTTATGGAATAAAATTTTAATAATCTCTAATCTAATTAATTAAAAAATTTAGAAATAATTTAGAAATTATACTAAAATGTAAAGAACATTTTGAATATTTTAAGAATATTTTATTTATTCTAAGGGTACTTTTAAAGTAATGTTGAAATAATTAATGCTTACACATTTACACATGCTTAGAAATCTACAGTTCCATTTATATATTTTGGCGACAGTGTTTCACAAATAAAATTCTGTTCATTGTTATTATCAAAAAAACTTGGACCAAAGGAAATAATTTATACTGTCTGATAATATATTTATACTGTCAAAATATTTAAAACAATATGGACATATTCTCGCATTCATAAATTAATTAATAACAACATTGAGTAAAGCTAAATGTCAATCTGTGATTCTCAAAATATTCTTTATATTTTAATACAATTTCTAAATTATTTTTAAATTTTTCAATTAATTAGATTGGAGATTAGTAAAATTTTCTTCCATAAAATTGAATAATAGAGGATAAAAATTCATCCATTGTATTTAGAATCTTGTAAATGCATAATGTATTAACTAAAAGGATCATACTGGCCGGGTGGTGGTTCTGCTTTCGTGACAGGTGGGCTTGGCTCAGTGGAGGATGGTGTTGCTGAAGGATCTTCTGCCCCACAGGCTGGCATTTCCACATCTTTCCAGTCTTCGTCAGCCTCGACGGTCAGAGCTATCAGAGTTCCTACCTTAATATCTTTCGTTCCTTCAGGCACCTGATCAACATATCACACAATTCGGATGTAATCAGCACGATTCGATCGATTTGTTGTCTACATCGGATTACGTCCACGTTACTCACTATTATCTTCGCCAGCACGCTCTCGTCTTCAAATTCCATCGTGACGACGGCTTTGTCGGTTTGAATGTCCGCAACAGCTTCGCCAGGACAGATCATGTCACCCTCCCTCTTGAACCATTTCACTATGGTGCCGCTCTCCATGGTGGGCGATAAGGACGGCATCAACAATTCCTTTCCAGTCACTGCAAACAGCAAATGTCACTTCAATTATCACCTCTTTCGTTTCATAAATTAAAACTTCCATCGAGTTAACATAAATTTGCAATAAATTTAGATATTGTAAATGAGCAAAATATTTTTTTTTCGCAAGGTAAAGTTTAAGCAAAAAAAAAATCACAGAGAAGAGACACAAATTATGCTGAAAAAAAAGTATAAAAACGTCATAAAAACTTTAAACGCCAGGTATGAAAATTGAAAAATTCGATTGCATAACCAGAGGAACGCGTTATTTATTGAGGGCAGCGAAAGGTTCAATTTACGCTCGAGAACTTGGGCACCTCGTTCTCGACACTTTCGTTTTATCACGAGCATCGTAAACGAGATAATTTTAATCTCTCCCATATATTTCCACGCCGAATTTGATTCCCCTCACCGAGAGATAACCTCCAAATCGTCAACGTGACTCGTCGCGAGAAAAAAATCGTGGTTCTTGAATAAATGTCGTACCGTCGAGGATATCGCTGGTGTGGAAGCATAGTCGTTGGTACTTTAAGGGCACGGAGACGCGAGGCGCGACGCGATTAGCGTACTTCAGTGACAGCAGCACGAGCTTGGATCTTATCATATGCGCCATTTTTCACATCGGACGATCGGTCACTGATGGAACAGCTGAGCTGAGCAAGGTGCAGACAAGTGTAGGACTGGAGCCGACAGCCGACAGTCACGTGATCGGGTAACCTTGCGCTCGCGTGCGTGTATCGTTTTCAAAACTTTCAAACGTGCGTCGTGCGTCGTTCAAAACGACACACCATTCCGACGGCTGGAGGTGTAAAAAGCGCGGGTTTTCGCAAAGTAATAACCGAGGTGCTGTGTAATTTTGTTCAAGATCCGGCCCATGTTCCGTATATACACGCTGGTCCAAAAGAATCAAGATCGCGTTGAAATTCAAAAGCCTCGAAAGTTCTCGAATGCCTTGTTGGAATGTAGATACAACCACGTGAAGATATAACCTTATCCCCCATTGTGTATACCTGCCTACATACCGAGAACCCTCCCCATCGTGTACACGTTTCTCTGTAAACATGGCAAAAAGAAGAGCCTTGAGTCGAATGTCGAGACAAAACTCCAATCGTAGATCGATTGACTCCATCGGTTCCGGATTTCTCAATCCGGATACAAGCATCATGGACGAAGGTAAAAGCATCTTCGTGTCACTTTCGCTTACGGTGACGCAGACTCTTAACTTCATTTCTACCAATGTAGATTAACTTTAATTCCCGGTTTAACTTATTTTGTATCTTTTTCCAGTTCTAAAAATTGGAAAAAGATGAATTGAACTGAGATTAAAATTAATCTACATTGGTAGAAATGGACATTAGTATACACGATGATTTGCCGGTCTTTTGATATATAATTTACCGCAGGTCGGTTTGTGTCTCGGTTAATTTTCACCACTTTTGATGTACAAAAATTACCAAGTGATTTTTACATGTGCTTTAACGTCTTCAGAAAGTATTTGTAAGATTAATATTAATTTTAAAGAATTGCATATAAATGTTACAATTATAAATTACAGTCGACATGAATGACCTAATCCTGCGGTAATAAGAATTAAGACTAAAATATATTACATTTATATGACTTTTTTAAGCTTATTGATTAGTAGGATAAGAAAAGGACTGGATATGCGAACTTCTCCATTCTGCAACCAATTAACACTCTTGAGGAATTTGTCGTACAAATGTAAAATTAGCCGTATTTCATATTCTAACTGTTAAGAAATAGCAGGAGAGATATGGATTTATTTTCCTATTTTCACTACTATTTCCATTGCCTGTGTCTTTTCAATTGTGTCTCAGGTTTTAAAGTATAGTAACAATCTCAGGTGAATTAAAACAAGAAGGATATTTTTAACTTTAATGTATTCTTCTTTCTGCAGAAGAATCATCTTGGTGGAACCACTTGCATGAGACTCAACGCCGACAGTCCGGGATAGACTACAGTAAAAATGAAACAGCTGCACAATTGAGTTCAAATTCGCAGATCGGCATTTCCACCAGCCCTTGGCGCTGGACGAAAGATCAGGTGAATTATGTGCAAGACTCTGATGACCAGTCCATTTCAGAACACTTAAAGGACATGCGATATAAAACAGGTATAAATCAGCAAAATATTTAATTTTGCATCGTAGACATTGTGATACTTATAACATATACATTATCTCTTTAGCTCAAACTGTTAAGTTAAATATGGAATCCAGTAGAATTCAAACTAATATATTGCAAACCTCGACGTCTGAGTCGGAGAAAGAGTTTGATTTGAGGAAGACGAAGGTTCAGCTAAAGTCAGCAAACAGTAGGAAGAGCAGCGGCAATGCCTTTGCAAATGCTTTGAATGATATTGATGAGAGAGCCATTCCATTCAAATTACGGTTGAAACGAGCCTCTTATTTTCATAGCAATTCAGACGGAGACGTCTCCCAAGCGAGGTTGCAGGAAAACGAAGAGGATAGTACTTCGAGTTCAACTGGAGATGTTTTGAAGCCGAAGCCAAGTATTTCCAGAAAAAGGAGACAGGCGTATATAGAGAAGAGTACAGACGATGAGAATGCCTTTCAGAATATACTAGTAGAAAATGATGTTTTGAATGGCAGCACCACGAGACGATCAGCTAGACTTGAAAAGGAATCCTCGAAGCATCAAAATATTGATGCGAGTAAAGATCGTATGGACGCAAGTAATTCTGCTATTTCCCCCAAGAAAAATTCATCCAAGTCACTAAGAAAGACAGATGATTTTTTCAACGTAAAACAAGCTTCGACAATAATGGAACAACGGAGTGAACGTGCGCAAAAATCGCAGGAAAACGAAGAGGATAGTAATTTGAGTTCAACTGAGGACGTTTTGAAGTCGAAGCCAAGTATTTCTGGAAAAAGGAGACAGGCGTACATAGAAACGAGTACAGACGATGAGAATGCTTTTCAGAATATACTAATGGAAAATGATGTTCTAAATAGCAGCACCACGAGACGATCAGCTAGACTTGAAAAGGAATCCTCGAAGCATCAAAATATTGATGCGAGTAAAGATCGTATGGACGCAAGCAATTCTGCTATTTCCCCCAAGAAAAATTTATCCAAGTCACTAAGAAAGACAGATGATTTTTTCAACGTAAAACAAGCTTCGACAATAATGGAACAACGGAGTGAACGTGCGCAAAAATCGCAGGAAAACGAAGAGGATAGTAATTTGAGTTCAACTGGGGATGTTTTGAAGTCGAAGCCAAGTATTTCTGAAAAAAGGAGACAGACGTATATAGAAAAGAGTACAGACGATGAGAATGCTTTTCAGAATATACTAATGGAAAATGATGTTTTGAATGACAGCCCCACGAGACGATCAGTCAGACTTGAAAAGGAATCCTCGAAGCATCGAAACATTGATGCGAGTAAAGATCATACGGACGCAAGCAATTTTGCTATTTCCCTCAAGGAAAATTCATCCAAGTCACTGAGAAAGATAGATGATTTTTTCGTAAAGCGAGTTTCGACAACAATGGAACGGAGTGAACGCGCGCAAAAATCGCAAGTCTTCGATAGTGAGAAAATGGAGACGATTAAAACAGAGTTGGAGAAAATAAAGAATCGCGAGATGGCCGCGATGGAGATAGACGCGACAAATAGGAAGAAACCTGCATTACAGGCGATAAACGTGAAATCTATTATGTCTAAACAATTTGCGAAGAAAAATCCTACGAAAGTAGTAGATAAGGCTTTCCTAATAAATGGAAAAGTGTATAAACCACCGAGACTTCCACGCCCGAAGCATTGGGCCACGAATCGTCTTTACAAGTTTCTGTGGAATTGCATGGAGCCAAAGTACAAAATGAGATCGAGAGTGAAGTCCGAGAAATTCGTGCAAGAATTAGCCAATGTAGTCACTATCATTCAGCGCCGTAAGAAATATGAAAATTATAAGACTGAATTGGGGGGTCTGATGAAGGAAATGGCTCACTTGAATATTATCAAGACCCGTAATGACTTTTATCATTTCTGTCAAGACTACATGCCATATGAATTTCGCAATAAAGTCGTGCCTACGGCAATGCCCGGCAATAAAAGCAATATTCCCTACGATCCAGAAAAGCTGCATATTCCTATCCTGGAGGAGAGCGAATGAGCAGTACCGTTCTTTAGGTAAGTACAATGTAGTAGATTATATTAAATTGGACTATATTGAATATATTTTAAATTCCAAGAATTTCGTCAATTTCCGAGAATTTTTTACTTTTCCAAGAATTCAAAAGATTTTAAATCATAAAAATCAAAGATCGAGGTCGTTTTTTTTTTGTATTTATCAAAATCGTTATTTATAAAATTAATCGTATTCTAGATGGAATCGTATAGATGGAACTTTGTAGAGATTGATAAACACTACTTTCTGCATTTTTTTTCTTTGTATTTATCAAAAATATGCTATTATTACTATACTATTATTATATACTAATTGTTACCATCATATCAATTAATATCATATACATTTTTATATAGAGTTTAACCAAGTATCTACATTGGTAAAATTGTAAGCATTATAAATAGTTAAAAAAATAATATAGTCTACTATCAGTAGACTGTACTAAAATTCTATTCTATTTTAGTTGTCAGAATATCGCTTTAACGTATTCCTACATTCACATTATCTTTAGAAATTCCTGTAGAACTTATTATTTGCGACACACTACCTATATTTATTTCCGAATCGGCATTATTTACATTATCGATTTCGTCAACATCAATATTTATGGATCGCTCAGGTGATTCCGTATCTTTACTCGCAGGATTAGGTATTTCAGATCGATTTCTTAAAACTGCTACACGAGCCTCCTTAGGAGGGCTTGATTTGGATATTTGTTTAAGCGTATTTGAATTATGTTCTTTATTTACATCATTGTAAATTTGCTGATTCTATTCGAGCTCTGCACGCTCTGATTTAGTGCCTTACTATCTGTTTCAGCCTTTGTCGAAGTGGAATTTCGTTGAATTGTTTGCCTCGCAGAATCCGCGTCTTCGGGATCAGTCGTTTCCACTACTTCGGACGTATTTACATTTTGTTCTATATTTGCGTCGCCGCGTAAATCATCAGTTGTTAATTTCATGTATAATTGATTTCGGGTAATTGATTCTGCTGCGAGATTACTGTTTTCTGACAATTTACTATTTTTCGACGATACATTTTTCTCGATGTTTGGTGACACTATAAAATTGTAAGAACTTTTTATTGAAGTATATAAAAATTAGATACTATTTTTTGCAATAATATAAAACTAATGAACTATTTTCTTTTTTGTTTGCATTTATCAAAATCATTGACAAATATAAAAATAATTGTATTCTAGATGGAATCGTATAGATGGAACTTGTAGAGATTGATAAACACTACTTTCCGTATTTTTTCCTTTGCATTTATCAAAAATATGCTATTATATTATTACTATACTATTATTATGTACTATAAGTTATATCAATTAACATCATATAAATTTGTATGTAGAGATTAACTAAGTATCTACATTGGCAAAATTGTAAAGTGTAACTAATAGTGTAACTTTCTTGTCATTTATATTCTCTTGATTCTTTATTGATTTTCGAAAATTTAGATTTTTATGTTAAAGCTCTAAACTTGAATTTCTGGGAATTGCAATTCTTAGAATTTTTGTTAATTTCATGTATGGAAATAGCGATTGAGGGATATATAAAAAACATCTTTGTATCATTAATATACTTAATATATATTTTATTAAATATAATATATATATATATGTATATGTTTATAAACATTACTATATCGTACATCAATACATACCTATACATCAATATCATACATCAATAAATGTACATAGGCATGTATAATCACTATAATGTAAATCTTTTACTTATTAACTCTTTTATTTTTGTGTATGTATATATTGCTATATTTAAACTATATCACCGAAATTACATATAAAATTATTCTACGACATATTAAAGACATTTAAAACAAATATCACAAAGACATTATAAATGGGGAGAAACGTCAAACGGATGTTTTCTTGATAATTTCATAAGATATCTTTGAAATTTTGAGACATTTTTTTATATATCTTCAAGACATTATATTATATTCTCTTTACCGATATTTGCAGTCTCATTCTCTTTCTGTTAGTACTCCGTTTATTATGTTCGAAACGTGATAGTTTCCTCATTTTTCATATTTAACACTTCTATTCGCACTTTAAGCGATCAGTATTGCGTGTTTAATTACTTATTATTCCGGTTTACGCGCACATCGTTTGCTTGTATAGCCGCATTATATATAGATCATTATATATAGATTGTTATATATATTATATTTATTATATATAATAGATGTATTTCTTTGCTGCTATAAATATCCTAATCTCGTTCGTTCTGTACGGCAATCTTTTTGCCCGAATAAACATCTTGTTTTTCCACCAGGTTCACAAAAACAAAAATTTTTATGCTGCTTCATGACGCGAATGGATAGAACATTAGACAAATTGTTAAAGATCGAGTATTATATATCAAAAAGAATAGTTAGATAAAAAGATTTTTAATATTTTCTTCTTAGAGCTAGATTAACTTAATTATTCTTTCTATTAATTATTAAATTAGCCCTAAAAAAATATTTCAAACAATTATTGCAGCAAAGACAAAAATAATTCAAATTGTTATTACAGCTTCTCAGAAATATTGTGACGAATCGAGAAAAAGAGATTAATATCCACATTATAAAGAGATATGCCTTCGATCTTTCTAACATGTCTTTAAAATTCATCATCTTTGTAATTTTAATACGAATTTTTTTTTGAATTAGATAAATTAATTTTCGTATCGAGTACAAATCTGAGAGATTATAAGTGCTACAGAAATTATATCACTTCGCGAAAGTAAATGATTTTTTTACTTGCTCTTTTATTATACAAAATAAATCTCTCTTAAAGTCTAAAAAATATATGTAAAATTTGATCGACATATTTCGCCTACATTAACATTAGAATGATCAAAACAGTCAAAACGCCTGGATTGACTTTTATGAAATTTATAACAGTGATTTTGTGCCTGGGGTCTTCCGTCAGCTTTATTGCTGTATGCAAATAATTAAATTGATCAATTTATTTTTCTCTTACATTTCTTTGCCCAAAGATATATATTTAAACAAATTTAAAAAAAAGATACATATAAAAACAAATATATATTATCGATAGTTTTAGTATAATAGTGTTTAATATAATATGAATGTCAACACGGCACCTATTGTACCAGTTTTAGGACCGAGCACGTTCGGATAAATATTGATACCGGCAGATATGAATTCTCCGTGGTGGAGAGACAGCATTTTATTTTTGAGATTGATGTGATGTAGCAATTTATAGTAAAAGTAAATGTTAAATAGCGCGCGCGAAGCGCGCGTCTGTCAAATGTGCTAGTGACAGTAAAAAAAGCCATGTCCTCTCTCAGGTTTCTCTCCGCTTTTCCTTAGAAAAAGTACGTTTAATTAACTTAAAAATTTTGATATCGCGATGTCTTTGTTGCAAATTCATGAAAAGTAACGAAAGTTTCAATTGGCGAGAAAAATATGATAAATAATACAACGAGCTTTCGATCTTATTGAGCTAAAAGAAGAAATTCGTTATATTTGATAAATTTTATATTAGTTCAATAAAGATATTTTATCAAACTTTCACATTGAACAGCTTATATTTTTCAGATTACGGGAGGGAGGGGGGAGGGGATGAAAAACCACGTCATTTTTACTCGCCATAAGATTTTTATTTCATCGTTATAACAATAACAGTTCTTTCCCGTGGTAATTCGCATAGTGTTTCGCCTATTAATAATATTCTGCGATAATCCCGCGTAACATCGTCGTTTATTCGACTCGTAAGATTACGAGAATTACCAGTGCGGGGGGGAGGGGGGGGGCAAGGGGGAGGGAGGGAACCGGCGTTTTTGAGATTGGCGGCGATCTCGTTCGTATCGCGATTATCGATACTATCGATCGCGCGCCTGCTTGCGATCCTCGAAGCTGATACTCGCAGTCGACGGCGGACTTTTGCAAGGTACGTCGCGTTTGCAAAAGGTATGCCGAGGTACTCCTCCGTTCGCGCGGACGTGCCGATTATGTACAAAGGAAATAACGTCGTGAGTACGTGCTGTACAATGACGCGTGCGTGTGTATATGCATGTGTGTCGCGCGCGTGTGTAGATTATATCGTTATAAAAACTTATTGCTAAGAGAGCTCCGGGAATCGTGTATGGGTGAGTGTCGAGTGAGAGGGTCAAGTTGGAGTACGCTTAAAGGAGTCGGTTACGAGTCATCCCTCCAGCTTCGGGGCGAGATCTCGGGGTTGCTGAATCCGAGTCAGTGAGTCTACAATTTCGATGGACTTATTAATTTCTTCATTAGTTCTTAATTAGATTCTGCCAACCTAATGATTCTTTTTAAACCAGTAGTAGCTTATATATACATGTGTATATATATATATATATATATATATATGTATATATAAAACCTATATAATTTTTCAGTATATATATATATGTATACATATAATATACATAATGTTATAATAAAATGTAATATAATATATTCAATATATAATATATTATGATATACACAATATATTACCGTACAATACATTACACATTATATGATAATAAATTATATAATATTATGTATATTATAGTAATAAATATGTATAAATATTATATACTGAATGTGAATTACATACATATTTAAGACTATGTTCAAATTAAGTTGCACCTCGACGCTGGGAGGGGAGGGGAGGGGGGATACAGTAATAATATTGCAGAATGAAACAATGTCTCGATATTAAGTTCGACTTGAAATATCGAGCCGCGGACTAAATTTAATACATGACATTCCGTCGCTTATACGATCTCGATTTCTCTTTCTCGCGATCTCCGCTTCATGTAACAACGTATCCGTGCACGGCGATTCCTTTTAATTGACGATTTACTTAATCGCTCGTGATATAGGAAATTTGGCACTCTTCTCTTATGACTGTGTATGTGTGTGTGACAACTGCTCTAAACATTAAAATGCCATACTATAATGGCCCGTGGAAAAATCGTGTATATAACGCTAGATAGCAACGGGCGCTTCAGAAGCGTATGGTATCGTGCGTTCCTTACAATCTAGCTTACACGGTAATCCCCTCACGCTCTTTTTTTTGCCGCCAAGTTCGGCGAATAGAATCTCGGAAAGGCTCCACATTTTAGCGTCTTTTTTTTTTTTTTTTTTTTTTCCTTTAA